TTTTTTTTTAATGTATATAAAACTCCAAGTATAAGGCAAACAAGAGAGGTGAAAATTTCAACAAAATTTCTGTTAGGATAAATTATATGAAAAAATGATAGTTAACTAACCAGATTGGAAAATAAACAGAATACCTACTGCACAGTGCGAAAAGCTGATAACTAACCATATTATTTGTATCACAAAATCCTCAAAGGGACAGGAACCAACTGAGCCATGTACATTCATGATTAGCAGTGCAGGATGGAAAATAGAAGGAGGACTTCTTAAACAGTTTGAAAGGGGTAGATCCCTATATTCTCCTTCCTCTTCTTTACACCTGGGAGCCTGTTCAGTACCAACTCAGCAAAATAATAGGGAAGTATTCTCAAAAAAAGAAACAAAACAAAACAAAACAAAACAAAACAAAACAAAACAATTCCAGACTAGAGGATACAGGTCCAATGAAAGACTAGTAGTACATTTAAAACGGGGTGATGTGACCTTAGTTATTCTGAACGCAGACTGCATTGATCTCAAGATCTCTTAACCCATGATTACCACAACATCGGCAGTCAGGGCCTTAATCTACATGTGAGAAACTTAAAAATATTTCTCAGGAGACTATGAAAGGCCCAAGAGAAAGGATATTTTGAAGGATTTCATCAACAAATAGCCCCTCTAGATGAATCTAGATATTAGATATTCTCATATTAGATATTCTCCCCCTACTCTGCTCTGTATATACAGTTTTCAAATCAGATTTTCATCCTCCTCTTTTATTCATTAATACAATACTAATAATAACAAACATATGAAGAAAATCTCTAATATGAAAGAAAAAACATAAACAAACAAAAAATACAATGGGGAGGAAATTGAGATCTTTTCAGGAAGAAAGGAAAGTTATAAGATTATTATTAATGATTTCAGGAATTTAAGAGAAGATATCGAAGCCATGAAATAAGATCGCACAGAAATTTAAGCAATCAGCAGAAATGGAAAACTCAGTATAATATTTGAAAGATAAAATTACATAAGTGAGCTGAAACCGGTTTGGCTCAGTGGTAGAGCATCGGTCTGTGGGATCCCAGGTTCGATTTTGGTTAAGGGCACGTACATTGGTTGTGGGCACATCCCCGGTGCGGGGTGTGCAGGAGGCAGCTGGTCAATGTTTCTCTCTCATTGATGTTTCTAGCTCTCTATCCTTCTCTACTCCTCTCTGTAAAAAATCAATAAAATATATTTTTTAAAAATTACATAAGTGAGAAATAGGGAAACAAAGGTTAATAAATTTAGATGCAACAGTTCAGAACTTCCAATGTTGAGAGTAGCTTTTAGAGTAAGCAGAGAAAAGGAAATCATCAAAGAAAGATTTTAGAAAATTTACTCCAATTGAAAGACAACATTAGCCAAATTTAAAAACTCAGCAAGCACCCAGCACAATGGATGAAAGTAGATCAATGTTTATCATTGGGCTGTTTCAGGATGGTGAGGGAAAAAAAAATAGATCAAACGAATCTAACGAAGAGTAAAAACAAACAAATATAAACAAAACTTACATACAAAAAATCAGGGATCTGAATGCCTTCAGGTTTATCCACAGATGGCTGGAGGAATGAAAGCAATGAAAGCATATCTTTAAAATTATCTAAGAAAATGATTTTCAACCTAGCATTCTATACCCAGAAAAACTAATAATTTTTATGACAGTGGAATAAAAGTGTTGTTAGACTGATAAAATACATATACATCATTTGTGTTTAGTACATAAATTCATTCAATTATAAAAAACTCATTTTTTAAATGATGTTCAAAATATTTGATATTATAACTAACAAACTATACTTATGAATTTTTTATATTTATAACATAGAATATATCCCTTTAGTAATTAGGATAATATATTCCCATTCTGATCACAGTGATTTAGTTATAAATATGCAAATATCTCTCCTTGATATTCTCATAGCTGTTAGGGTTACTTAGCTTGGTCTTTTCATCTGGTTAGGGTTTTCTAGTTTGGGTATGTGAATAGATCCCTCTAGTGATCCATTCTAATTAGAGTGATTTGTGAAATATGATTACCCAGTGATTAACTGGAGTTATCAGGTTATAATGTTGACTAGAACAATTGTTCTCTTGAGAGTTACATTAGAGAGTAATGTTTATTCCAATATACTATCTTCCTAGAAAGAGGAGACATTTTTTTATTGAAATTATTTTGTAGATAATTTAGATTTTGTTAAGAATAGTATCTCATGTATGTATAATCACTAGTGAGTAGGTAAATATCTGTTTTGGCAATTATATAGAAACCTTTTAGAAAATGGATAAAATTAAATATTATGCATTGTTTAGATATTTAAAATTATCTTTATTCTTAAAATATAGCAAGTTTATTAAATTTTTCAATTTTTAAAATTTAATAGTTCAAATGGTTGCCAGATTTTACCAAAAATCTAATTATTTCCTGACTACTTAAAAATAATTATAATTTCCTGACATTAAAATTGTTCAATATATAATTAAAACTAAAAAGTGCTTTAAAGCCTGATTAGTATCTGATTGACAAAAAGCTTAATATTTTCCAAAATTGGAACATTTTATGAAATTTTATTTTACATTATTTACCACTAAAAATACAATATTGAGATTTTTAGCAGTGAATTGTGTAACTCTCTAAAACTAAATTTTGAGACAAAATTATTATCAAAATCTAAATTTTAATTTAAAATGCCTCCAACATTCAAAATTTTGAAAACACTTAGACATTCAATTTTTAGCTTATTTAGATGTTAGTAATTTGGTTTTGTAACTTTTTGCAGTTTAAAAAATACATCACATAATTTTCTTTTGGTCAGGTGCTCTAGTTTTAATGGATATTTTAGTGAATTATATGTTATAGCTTGTGATTTAAATATAAGAGGTTTGTTAAGATGATAACATCTAAACCACACACATTATTACTAATTGTAGAAATTGAGCTTATCATGTCCTCTCCCTTTGCTGAGTTACATTGATTTATTAATGCACAAGGAGGTCTTAAATTGGACATCAGTTCAACTTCAAATATAATATCAGTAATCATTGTACAGCCTCACATAACCTATACACATAGTTAATACCATTCAGAAAAGAGGTAAGATGAAGTACTGTTGCCTCTATAACTGCTATCCTAAGCCTAACAATTACACCCTAAATCTCATCATCCAACCTTTTTTCTTCTTTTCTCCAGGTAGTTGGGTGCGGCCATCCTTGAAGACCTAGGAAGATCCAGGAAGTATACTTCTCTCAATGCAATGAAGATGTTGTGCGTTCACTTATATGTACAAAAGAAAAATGAAAGTCAAAGCTGAACGTAAAATGGACATAATTTTAATGATATTTTTTAAATTTTGTGCATTGGATTCAAACAGCAAACTGTGTGCACTCAACTGTTATCACAATGTTGTCAAGAAGTCTGTGTCTTTTACCATTTTACACACAATTGTTCATTACAGTATGTTATCAGCCTCATGGAAACCAGGGGTGTGGCATGGTAAGCAGTGGTGGTAGTGCACCTAACTTTTATATTATCTAACTTGAAAATATTTCTCTTCTATGATTCCTTTTTTTTTCTTGATAAAAATAGTTTTCACCAAACGTTGGTGGTGCACACGCACTACCATTCATGCTTGACATCAACACCCCTGACAGGAACACGTGTTCTTATTTTGTTGATAAAAAGTATTACAAAAATTTCCATACAAAAACTATTTTCATAGAAATCTTGCATTTCCACAAATAAACCTGAACATTTTTTGGAAAAAAAAAACTGCTCAAGAATTTTGTTCATTTAACACCGTGACTGTATTGATAAATGCAGTCCACTTCAAAGTTCTCCACACATCCTTTTCTACAGATGACCAGTCCCCTTTTTCCTTTCACCGAGGTCTACCCGGGCTCCATCAAGTTCATTTATAGCAGGAACTAGGGTTTGGATGAACACATCTGAATGTTAAAAATGGAAGCTTCACCTTCCACATCACTATCAATACCCATTCCTCTTTTATAACGTAAGACAAAGATTGCAAAATACTATCCTTTTCAATTCAGAATCTCTGAACCAACTGTTGCTTTTTATTCTTGGTGTGAGGTTGGAGGAAGGGGGACGGGGTGGGGTGAGGATAGGTAGCTAGATAGGGATCCGGTAGAGTTACATGTCAAATCACCTGCAGGTGAATTTAAGAAAAAACAAAACAAAACAAAAAAAACAAAAAAACCCCACCATTATTGCCTTGGTAATTGACATCTCTATCTCAATCAGTGACACAGACTTTTAGAAAAGAAAGAAAAACACTGATGAAGATATGTTTTATATTCCACTTGCCATGAAATTCAGATTTGTTGTGTGTTACATTTTTTTTTCACATCCTATCAACACATATTGTCTATTCAGATGATCACTGAACTGAGTTGTTGGGGGCTAATAACATCACCACCTCTATTATCTGGGTGTTCAAAGACCGTATTGTTTCTTGTCATGCTACAGGTTGTTGTTGTGGTTGTTGTTTTCTTTTCTTTCTTTCTTTCTTTTTTTTTTTTTTTTTCTGATTCCAAGTATTTTTATTTTTACTGACATTTTTACTGGTTACCTTTGGGGCACTGATATTCCAGCTCCTGGCAACAGTTGGACTTCAAAAAGAACCTGTAATTTCATACTGGACTGCATTTGAAACCAGTCACAAGATGTGCCTGTCACATCACTCAGAAGAAGGGAGGAACCCATGATAAACAGTATAACCCCGTGTAACTTGGTTGGTCCATGATGCTTGTAAATCAAGTCTGATCACTGCAACTGTTCAGATCACAGAGTCTCTAGTTCATAAACACAGCGGCATGAGGTAACTCATTTTATTTTGCACAGGTTGCATATTTCCACAGGAAACATTCTCGCTAAATTGTTTGGAAAAAAAAAAAAAGACGACAGTTTGTGCTTGGGTGTGTGGCCTCCCAGCTTTATGCCATGGTTTCTTTACCTGGCAACCTTCTGTCGTTAAATGTGTGCATGTTGATGACTTCTTCTGTTTTCACAATAACAGGGGCCTGTGGCTTGTGTTTTAACCGTCGCTGGCACTTCAGGGACATCCTCAGTTCTTCCACCATGGCGCTACAGAAGGACCTCTACAGAACAACAGAAAACGAAATGTTACCAAACAGATAAAGTCTCACTGGGCAGAGACAAACTAAAATAAATCTCAACAGACTTTCAACGTAACCAGCCTTGAAGGTTTGAAATATTTCAATAAGAAGGTTAGAACAAATTGTCACACTTTTAATAGACAACACATGATAATTAATAATATTTTATAAATGTGGACTAGTTTAAAGAAAATCTCCACCTGATAGTGAAATGAACTACCAACTGGAATGCATATAAAGCAGATGTAAAGCTTTATAGATGTAAAATTAATTAAAATAAAAACATATATCTGTCTACCTTAAAATTTAAATATAAATACATATACACAAATCAATAATCAGAAATCCAATCTTGATATTTGAAAATAGAAGAAATGTGCTATTTTTTAGATCACAACACGAGATATGAAAATTTTCTTTAAACATAGATTTGTTTTTCATTGTCCATCTCAAAACAGAACAAAAATATAACACTGACAAAGACATAAAAATATGGAAAATAACTTCTGGTATTCATTATACCTTTTTATTGGATTAGGCTCATAAAACTATTGCTGATGATTACAAACAAATATATGAAATAACAAATTGTAGCACATTAAAAATCCATGAAAATATATTAACATTTTTGTCATTGTCAGCTTGATAACTGAGAGTCAATAAATAATTTATCCCATGCAGAAAAAAATGACCCTATAAATATTTTTAAATTTTCATCCCATTAGCAATAGATTTGCTAGAAAAAATAGTATATATGGGGCTCATTATTACAAGCTCCTCAAAATTCCAATACAAAGTCATATCTGTGCAACAAAATTTTATTAGTCTCCCTCCCCAGCTAATTGAGATACATATGTTAGTTACATATAAATAAGATTCATAAACCAGTTATATATTGTAGTTGAAATTCAGATGGGTTGAGAATGATGTTCTTTCTGCGTGAAAACTAAAAATGTGGAAAACAACCAAAAATGTGAACACGGATGAAAAATTAACACAATTCCAGAAAGTGATATGAAAACATAACTAAATAAGCCTAATCAAATATGCATATGAGGACTTATTTTTTTTTAACCTAAGTTTTGTTTCTTTGCTGTTTATCAAGTTAAGCTAATTCCAAAAGAATAGAGAATAAAAATATTTAATACTACATATATTCCTTAGGTTTCAAATATTTTGCACACATAATCTTTTGTGACTAACTAACACTTTAACTAAAGTAGGCCTCTATCTAACAGAGAAAATTGATTCAGAGCGAGGAAAGTCACTTTTTGCAGCTTACAATGGAGACTCCAGCAAGGTATCCTGATAAACAAGTTTGTAACTTTTGATCCTAGTACTGCTTGTCCATGCCTGACTATATCATCACTTTTCTTTTAAGGATTCCTGAATAGCTTCCTTAATAGTCTTCCCAACTTTTTAGCAGATTCCTTCCCCAAAGGTTCATAATTATTAGCATAATCTATTTTTCAAACATGATTTATTAATAGCATCTTCTCATGCAAGGAACAGGTAGAATCCAAAGATCCTATTTTTAGAATCATGAATTCTGTGATTCAGTTTTCCCTCTTTCTGCTCCTCCTTTTCTTTTTTTCTCTACACACAACCTTTCTGCCTGGACTTCCAAAGTTTTTCTCCTTTGTTCTTCTTTGATCTGGTACCATGCCATATTTTTTCATCCTTCACGTCTATCCGACTGTATCCCTTACTCAAACTTTCACTTATTAGCGAATCATTTTCCACTTCATCAGACTCATTATTTTCACTCAATTTAGTTTTGCCCCTCTACTATTTTTAACTCATTATAATATTTTCCCATCTGGCCTCTAAGTCGTCTCTGTATCCCTCTCAATGAATGGTAAGAGATCAAGTGATTGTGGTACTTGCTCTTTAAATGTTGACTGAATTAAGAATAGCTACATATCGCCGAAACTGGTTTGGCTCAATGGGAGAGCATTGGGCTGCAGACTGAAAGGTCCTGGGTTCGATTCCAGACAAGGGCATGTAGGGGGTGTGCAAGAGGCAGCTGATCGATGTTTCTCTCTCATTGATGTTTCTAACTTTCTATCCCTCTCTCTTCCTCTCTAAAAAAATCAATAAAATATATTTAAAAAAAAGAATAGCTACATATGACTCTAATACTTTAATTCTTAGTTAACTAATGTTTCTAATTAAATTGCTTAAAAACATTTTAGAAGCTTATTGAAATGCAATGTATACAAGCTATTTAATCAGGTGAAAGTTTGGAATTTGTTTAATAACATTAAATTAGTAAAATATTAATTTATTAGTACTCACAATGGATGATGTTGCTAAACATGATTCCCCACTAAATAATAGAGTTACTGCTATGCTCTTTTATCATGTACATTAAATTATGCACTTCTGAAATCCATAAATTATATTTCCATTAAAAAATTTTGAGCATCTGACAGCCATTATATGGACACAGTGTTTCTTGTTGCTTTATACCTACTATGAGATGTACTTATTAAGAACATGATGACAATGATGATGAAGATGGTGATGATGACAACACTGTAGAAATGGAAAAGTCTGACTCCAAAAGGGGAAGGAATACATAGTCTTGAGGTAACTTACTCTTGGTTCTCTGTTGAAACATTTAACAGAAGAATTGGTTAGATAATATAACAAGGTCAGAACTTGATGCCAATGACACTTAAAACACTATAGGGTGTGAATAATTTTGAATTGTTTGAAACAAGCCTTCATTTAAAGGTAACAAATGTCTCAAAGGTTCCATAACTTATAACACCCTCTTCTTGGCAAACTTGGTTTTTAGGCAGTTTGATTATATTAGTTAAAAAAATATAGAGAGTAGATATATTAATTTTTGTCTATACAAATAGAGTGATCTCAACAACTTATTTTCTTAGGGAAAAAAATCTTATAAATCTCATTCAACAATGGAATTATACATTTTTTTTCTAGTAAGTTAAGAAATAAAATGTATTAGCACCCTTATATAATGTCAGACCACAAATAAAGGCAAAAAATTATTTTAAAGAAATTTCATGTACTATAAAATGTATGATGTTAAGTAATATAAAAATGTAGTTAAAAAGCCAGGCCCCAAAGTTAGAACCTTTTATCTTTTATAATTTAAAAGATAAAAAAAAATTTCATCTTTTATCATTTAAAATTACCTTAAGTAAATTATAGTTATAAACTTAACTAAACAACTTATAGCTACAATTTTAGAAACTCTGAAAATCTATAACTTGACCATAATCATCTTTAGGCTTTATCTATTTACAAAGCCATCAGAAAGTAAAAATTTTAATCAATCAATCAGTAGACTTGATTACACTCTATTTTACCAATTTTGTGAATTTTTCTGTTAATCAGCTGAATTTTGCCAGCATTTTTTTAATGTACTAATGCAACTATGTGTGAAAATAGTTTTATCTAATAAAGTCATGTGACAGACTATTTCTAATCCTTCACAAAAACTATGAAAACCTTTACATTTGAGCAAGAGTTTGGGATCAATATAGTGAATTAAATAATGTCATAAAGTCCTGTTTACTTGTGGCAGTAGGGCAGACACATATTATTTTCTTTTTTTTAAAGCTTTAGAATACAAATTCCATATTGATTTATACAAAAATCTAAAGTTGAGATTGTAGAGATGATTGTGAAATATAGTTATTTCCTTGTGCTGAATGTTCAAAAAAATTACTATGTCTGATTTTTAAAGTTCTAATATCATTTGATAGAGACAAATTGTCTTTCCTACTTCATATAATGATTGGAATTTTTAAATGTATTTTTATTAAACTGTGAAATAGGTTTTGAAAAACCCAAGGGCCCTTAACAGAAGTCTCCTGGGTTATAGTAATCAAGAAGTAAAGGGGAGAAAAGGAGAAAAAACAGAAGCAGAGGAAGCAGGAGGAAAGGAAGAAGAAAGCATAAGGTGGGTGGAGAGGATGAGGAAAATAAAGAAAACTATTTTGCTTTTCAAATCACTTCCTAGGGATGGAAATGCACAAATTGTGTCATTAAATAAGTAACATTTTCAGGGTGAAAACAATAACAAAAATGTTTCTCCACATTAATATAACAGACTACAAAAAGAAAAAAGAAAGGCACAAGGATACTAACCATTATTAAAAACCTCTTTTAGTAAGTTTCAAAATTTACTAAACAGTGTCTGGATGGTAGGGTGGCACTAACCAAATAGAAGATTCCTGAAAATGAAAATTTACATCTTTGAGCTGTTAGCATGTAATCGCATTTAAGTTAGTAAAAGTCATTATAAAATTCACTGTAATTAATGAGGCAACCTGTATTTACACATCTCCCATTCTTAAAACAATGAGGGTCTGGGAACCTTAAAAGTTTTAATTTGACTGTATTTGCATTGCTTGTTTTGAAAGCTATCTAATTTTATTTTGGGTATAATAAGACAACACACAGTCTGCAGATAACTGTTCTAAATAATGTCATTATTGGTGTTATAGAATAATTTATTCCTAATAACTTAACTATATAATTTATAGGTATGCTTAGAAGATAATAGATGTGACAGCACTTAGAAAAGCACATCATTGTTTAAATATTAGAGATGTAGTTGTAAATATGCCCCACATTGAATACTGACGTAAACTACATTTTTAAGTTAAGATCTTTATATTTAGTTCTGTCATTTTGAAAAACAGCCACTGATGGAAAGCAACCAGTTTGATTTTTTTAAACTTAAACTCATCATTTTCATGTTGAATATATGTACTCATTTATCATCCAAATTAGAAATAGCCAATATATATATATATATATATATATATATATATATATATACACACACATATATATATATGTGTGTGTGTGTGTGTGTGTGTGTGTGTGTGTGTGTGTGTGTGTGTTTTATTGATTTTTTACAGAGAGGAAGGGAGAGAGATAGAGAGCTAGAAACGTCAATGAGAGAGAAACATTGACCAGCTGCTTATCGCACACCCACT